GGGTCTCTGATGCTGCCTGGCCTGCTGTGTTCCTCCAGCTCCACACTGTGTTACCTCCTCACTTCAGTCTTGAATCTGCTCCCCCTTATTTTGAGGTTAAGCTGTCACCCCTTCTGAGGTGGGGAGTTAAACAATGTACAAGGCAGACTAAGTTATCTTTCGCAACTGGGACGTCAACAAACCGTACAAATATATGAATTAGAAGTAGAATGAGGCCATTCAGCCCTCCAGCCTGCACATTTGATAAGATCATGACTGATCTGATTATGGCCTTAGCTCTACCTTCCTGCCTGTTCCAATAACTTTTGATACCCTTCTTAGCCACAAACCGTCTACCTCTGCCTTTAAACAACCCAATGGCATTCAGAGTCCCCAGTTCTAGTTTCTCCCACATGGGGAAACATCCTTGCAGCATCTTCTTTGTCAAGCCCCTCAGGATTTTATGTGTTTCAAAAAGATAGCCTCTCATTCTTCTAGAGTCATAGAGTCATACAGCACAGAAACAGACCCTTCAGTCCAACCAGTCCACACCAACCATGTTCCCAAATTAAACTAACCTTACATGTCTGCGTTTGGCACACATCCTTCCAAACCTTTCCTATTGAAGTCCTTATCTAAATGTCTTTTAAACATTGTAACTGTACCCTCATCCACCACTTCCTCTGGAGGTTCACTCCACACACGAACCACTCTCTGTGTAAAAAAGTTGCCCCCTCATGTCCTTTTTAAATCTTTCCCCTCTCACCTTCAAAATATGCTCCCTAGTCTTGAAATCCTCTACCACAAGGAAAAGGAACTTACCATTCACCTCATCTCTACCCCTCATGATTTTAAAAACCTCTATAAAGGTCACCCCTCAACTTCCTACACTCCGGTGAAAAAAGGTTCCCAGCCTATCCAGCCTCTCCCTATAACTGAAACCCTCAATACCCGGCAACATCCTGGTAAATCTTTTCCGAACCCTCTCCAGCTCGATAATATCCTTCCCATAAAAGGACAACCAACTGGACACAGTACTCCAGAAAAGGCCTCACCAACATCCTGTACAACCTCAATATAACGTCCAACTCCTATACTCAAAGGTCTAAACTCCAAAGATACAGGGCCAGCCCTGTCTGACATTTCCTTCAAAGATAACCACACCAGGCCTCCACCCAGGAATCCAGTGAGTCCTTTCGGAATGGTTTCCAATGCAATCTCATCCTTTCACAAGGAAGGAGACCAAAGCCGTACAGAATATTCCAGATGTGGCCTCACCGGCTGCAGTAAATCTCTCCTTTTTTTTACATTCTACTCCCATCGCATCAAATGCCAACATCTCATTGGCCTTCCTAATCATTACCTGGACCAGCAAACTAACTTCTTGTGATACATGTAACCCAGGACCCCCAGATTCCTCTGCACCAACTATCTTCATATCAGTTTTACTGACACCAGGTTGGTGAGAAGGGGTCTTACCCTGGGTCACCTTCCACTAACCTGTGACACCTTCAATGATAATGACCAATCTTCATGATCCACCTCCCCACTTTTAATGCTCCACACTGGAGATCTTCGATGGTCAAATTTCTCGTGGGTGGTGAAACAGCTGATAGACCTTGTACACTCTGGCTTAAGGATTTACTCTTATATTCCCCGGCCATTCCAAAGTCAAACGCTACTCATGGAGTGTGTGTGCGCGTGTGCATGCGTCTGCGTGTGTGTGTGTGTGTGTGTGTGAACGTGTACACGCGTGGAGTCCAGTGGTTCATGTGTTGTTTGACTGGGAGAGAAAACTATAAGCATGAGCAGGCCATTCAATGTGATCTTGGCTGATCCTCCATCTCCACGCCACGTTCCCAATTTCTCCCCAAGCCCCTTGATGCCTTTAAATCTAAATATTTATCCAACTCTTTCTTGAATATATTCAGTGACTTGGCCCCCACAGCTTTATGTGGTAGAGAATTCTACAGGTTGACTACCTTTTGAGTGCAGAACTGTTTCCTTATCTCAGCCCTAAATGGTCTATCCCATATCCTGAGACTGTGACCCCAGTTTTGAACACTCCACAATTAGGTACAACATTGCCCTGCATGTGGTCTGTCCAGCCCTGTTAGAGTTTTATGTTTCAATCAGAACTGCTCTCATACTTCTAAACTCTAGTTAATACTGGCCCATTCATATCAATATCTCCTCATAGGACAGTCCTGCCATCCCTTTTGTCAGCCGTGTGAATCTCCGCTTCACCCACACTATCCTGCCTTAGATAAGGAGACCAAAACTGCCTATCCATATTTCTGTTCTCAAATCCTAATGGCTTGCTGCACCTGCCTACTTTCATTGACAGGTGTACGAGGCCAGATCCCTTTGTACATTCGCATTTCCCAATGTATCACCCTTAAAATAATACTCTACTTTTCTGGTATACACCCGAGTGTATAACTTCACATTAAGCAACTTTGTACTGCATGTGCCACCTGTTTGTGACCTCACCTCTCCCCTCTACCACCCATCACTCCAAAATTAAAGAGATGGGCCCCGTTCTGTCTGTGACAGGAAGATAGGACACTCACTTCATGGTAAAGATGTTAGTCACCCACGAACAAAAACCCTGCAAGTGGAAACAAAACACAATCAGCTTTTATCGCATGACGAGATTCCAAACACCGACAGGCCACTGACAGTGTGAGGGTAGAGGCAGCAGGGTGAAAGACAACGAGGTAAATGTATCCCATCCCCTTGTGTGGACATGACACTGGGAGTAGTATGGGCCTAAGGCCTAACATTCACCTGACATGGCTCAGTGCCCAGTTTCACCCCTACCACAGCCCAAGTCCAGGTCAGGTGGACACTGGCCCGTACCGAAGTTGACATTGCTCAGTGGAGGCATTACAACAAGGCCCCATCTTGTTACCCCAATTGGATAGGCCAAAGCACCCAAGTTGAAGAGAAGTAGGAGCATACTCCCTAATCTCCTGGGCTAGCAATGACCCTACACCCAACATCACACAAAAAAAAATGACCACTACCACATGGCCACTTGTGGAAGCTTTCTGTGTGTAAACTCAGTTTCATTTTCAACATCACAGCAGAGTCCGCATAGGAGCGGGAATAGGCCATTCAGCCCAATGTGAAGGCTACCCCATTCAATTAGATCATGGCTGATGATCTCCATTCCCACTGTCCCCACAATATCCCTTAATGTCGTTAGCCTTCCAGAAAGGTATCCATTTCTGTGATCGATGGTTGTGTTTTCAAAAGAGAATACTAGGGATTCACCACCCGCCAAATGCAGAAATTCCTCCTCATTCCAGCCTTAAATCTCCAGAGATGATACCCCTGATTCTATAGTCACCAGGCAGGAGGAACGTGCTGTCTGCTTACATCCAACGGTCACACTGTGAGAATTCTCTCAATTTCCATCTTCAAAGCTCTCCAAGTGTAAAGAGGGGCAGGGGATAATATTCAAAGCAGTTTACCAGAGAGTAGACCAACTGACTCCTTGTTACTCACAGCATCTTTGATGCTTTGTTCAGTGAATGAAGAGGGTCTTGTGTGTCTCCTGGGTGAACGCACGGCCTCACTGTAAAACACAACGCCTCAAATTCACCGATGGAGTGACGTTAATTATTTAACACCATCAACCCAGACTGAGTTTTCACTTTCACCCTCCCTCACCTGTCTTCCAAAAGGTACAAAGTCAGACCGGGGTCGGGGAACAGGGATAAATGATTTCACAGGCCTTTCCGACTGGGTGTCCATTACAGGAGCCAGGTTCTTAGCAAACTAATAGAGATTGGAGGCTATTGCAGACTGAACACAAAACTACACACAGAGCATCTCCCACAAACACACATACGCACACAGAACCTCTCTCACACATACATGCACACACACAGAATCTCTCTCTCTCTCTCTCACACACACACACACAGAATAAAATTAAATAACAAACTGCTGATGCAGGAGATCTGAAACAGAAACAGAAACAGAAATTGTTTGTCAGAACTGATAGCAGCTTGGAAAAGGTGGCATTTCTGATAAAGATGGGTGTTTTTGGTGGGACGGAGGGGGGAGCAGGGGCAGTAAGCAGACAGGTGAAGACAGAGCCCAGAGAGAGAGATATGAAAGGGTTAGGCAGACAACGGGATAGATACAGAATCTCTCTCTTTCACACATACACACACACATTCTCATGCACACATACTCTCACGTGCGCACACACACACACACACACACACACACACACAGACCAGAATGACCAAGTCCTGCAGAATAAATGATGGTACACTTGACTTGTAAGGGGTGAGCCTGTCAGAGCAGGTGGGTGGGGAGGGATGTAGGTGAGACAGAGAGAGACCGGGGGTGCTGGTGCATGAGTGAGAGTGGGGGGGCTGCAAGTGACATGGAAGTCTGCAGATGGGGAGTGAGCACTAATAGGAGAGTAAAAAGGATCACAGATATAGGACACATGTGCCCTGTTACCTAGTAACAGAGAACCTGGGCCACAGGGTTAGTCGGCATAAACACAGCAGTCCCACTGGATCAGGTATTGTGCACCCTTATAGAGAGAGAGAGAGAGAGAGAAACACAGAGGGAGTTACTGGATAACATTGAGAAGAAATCACTAGGTGATATCTGCCCTCAGCTAATTCCATTGGTACTGAAACAAAGTCGCTGGAAAAGCTCAGCAGGTCTGGCAGCATCTGCGAAGGTAAAAACACAGTTAACGTTTTGGGTCCGGTGACCCTTCCTCAGAACTGGTACTGAGGCCAAATCCCGCCCCCCCCAACCCCCACTCAGTCAACCCCAACTCTGCTGAAATGTAACACAATGTGTTTACTGAATGAGCCAGCAGAGGGAGACAGTGAGCCCATGGTACAAGAGACAACAAGGTGCAGGGCTGGATGAACACAGCAGGCCAAGCAGCA